AAATAGACTAACAAACGGTTACGGTTCAATAATAAATAATTTCATGTCATAATAATAATAACCCAGGCAAATCATATAGCGCCATCTAGTCCCTAGCTAAGCAGATCCTCTTTTATGGATACTAAACAACTGATAGAAATATTTATGTATTTTTTTAACATATACATTATGTATAAAACCCATACCAATACAAATATATTTCTCATTATTTAAAAGTGTTTCCATGCGGGGAATAGATGCTGCGCGACTGCTCAGATCTATCCTCTTATTGAGGTACTCTAAGCCATAACTAATTAGACTTAAGCATATTAAGAATACATAAGTAGAGAATGTAGTAAACTTGAAATAAATCCCTCACTACGGACCAATTGTAATAATAGTACTAATAGTATAATATCCTTCTCCTATAGATAAAGCCGTGCACCTTGCAGTAGGCTATTACATGTTATGTTGATGGCATGGTGCACAATTCCTTAGTAGTCTCACCATAACGTACCGTGTAAAATTTTATAGACATATTTCAAAATATTTTTTTCTTAATTGATAATATTTCAATAGCTACCCATGAAAATATTTTTATGGTTTTAATTTTCCAAATATTTTTTTTAATTGGTGAAATTTTAATTGCTGCAGCTATTCTGTAGATGTGCAGACACTATTTTTGTTGTATTTGGTAGTTGAAACCAATTTATAGTTTTGAATGCTATTCCAATTGGACACACAAAATGTTTTTAAACTAATTTGTCTTAGAGATACCTCGTAGTACATCCTCATATTGTAGAAAAAATATATACATTTCCTGAAATTAATTTAAAAATGTCCTCTTACGATGAAAATTACAATCTTGAAGAGCTATTGGACGTCAGAAATACTTTCATATTCTTTCAATTTTTTATATATTTGCTTATTCGGTATTTAGACAAGAAAAACAAACAAAAAACTTAGCTCTAGCTCTTTAAATAAATGTTATATAAGTTTACATGTTTAACATGTTATGTGAATATAACTACTTCAAAACACATATAAAAATATTAAAAAGACAACTTCGAGAACAAGAAATATTACAAGATTAGATTAAATAAACATATTACATTGATAATGTAATGTAAAGAAACATTGAATATCCCATAAAGGAAAATAAAATACCTGTAAGAAGATCTCTTCTCACAGTCTCCCGACTAACCCGGTACATAAGAGAATAGAGTTGAATGAATAGAAATAAAAAAATAACCAGGTATATATTAATGAGTAATAATTAATAATATCAATTAAATAATAATTAATATTGTCAAATATCATAGCATTATCGTCAGTGTTCATTAACTGTTAATGACTAACTTATGCCAGTGACATAATCAACATTAATTACATGCAATTAATTGTTCTCCACTATTAATTAACAGCTGACCCTAAAGATTTAGATATACCTTCTAATAGTATGTTTGATTTTAAAATATTTACATATAATAAAAATGTAATAGACCGCTGTCTCTACATTATCGATATATGAGAAAAAATATTATTGGGGGACTTTATCAACGTTACATAACTGAAAACTATAACTGTCAGAATTTATATTGTTTGTCTGTGCGTTAATAAAGGTTAAAATTCTTTATAAATATAATACCATAAATGGATTAAAATAGTAATATTTATAAAAGAAGTAGAAATAGATCCATCATTGATAACGTAAAGGTTAATTGTATTATTAGTTTGCTATAATATGTTAAAAATTAATACCCGCCTTACTAGGGTACTTGTTATTTTTGACAATTTTTGACGAGAAATAGTTCTATTTCGAATTACGACTTTTTTATCGCAAATATTTGTTCATAGTTGTTTAAACAATTTCTATTTTTTTGCTTTTAAAGATATAGTTACGTTTCCAATAGTATAAGAAAGCAAAAAAATTGCATATATAAAGTAAAGCTAAAGACTATAACTGGAATTTTGTCGTTCCTTACCAGAGACACAAAAGTGGTTTCAAATCAAGGTACATGTATTTTATACCGCCATTTTTGAAGTCCAAAGTCTATGTTAGCGATGTAATTTGTATGTAGAATAAGACAAAAAAGCTAGACGTTACTACATCGTCTAACGTTAATATTGTTAACCGCAAAAACTAATGTGTCTTACCGAAAATTACTACCACGTTTCGTTAAACCGTGACTATTGCAGCTCGTTCAATTATCTACCTTACTTGTTGTGGATAAGGTTTGAAGTCGACAACACTCATCCTAATGAATACTTGCATTTTTTGTTGTTTGTATATTTTGTATGACTCATCGTCTGACAAGGCAGACAAAATGTAAGCCCCCGTACTAAGATATATCGAACGATATTTTTAACCCGTGCAGATATTACAAAGTTTGTTATATTTATAAACTTCGTTTCTTAGTAGTTCCACAGTGTATTTAATGTTTTTTTCTTATTTGATGAATGTAGAACCTTACTTTTAATTGTTTAGCAATTGTGTATTTTGTAGTTTAATTCTGTATTTTATATTTAGTAATTGTAAAAACTGTAGATTTTTCAAATATTTGACCGCTTTCCATTCTTAGTATTACTTTAAATTTGAAAATATCTTAAAAAACAATCCGGTCTTTTCACGATTTTTTATGGATGATAAAGGTACGGTGCACCCGCCTGCACTAATGATATACGCTAGCGTGACACCAGTAGAGGATAATAGGATGAACATGAAGGCAAGTCAGTTAGTCTATGTCAAATTTACAAGGAAATTATCATGATGGTTTCCAGAAGAAAAGCGTGAAGGACAACTTGGCATAATTTGCTAGCAATGGGGTCATCAGTCCACATTACTAACAATCCCATCCCCCTCTTTTTACGATTTCATAATAATTATCGCGATTCGTTGCTAATTTTATTTTCTTTGTTTGTTGATTTCAAATTTTGTTTGTATGACTTAACTCGGAAACAATATGGTCTGTGGATATCGTTGTACAGAGGATAATGACGATATTACGAGTTTTCAACAACTATGAACATATACAATACTTTAATTATGTACAATTTATTTACCACATGTAAACAAAATTATTAAATACACAAATTATCTGGAATATTAAAAAAAACTCAGTTACATCTTCAGTGCCTAATTGGTCTCGACGGCCTCGGTGGTCTAGCGGTTTAGCACCTTTACTTTTGATAGTCGCGGGTTCGATTCCTCACACAATGCAAACGTGTGTTCATGAGTATGAATGTTTGTATTGGTCGGGCTATTATTCATCCATTCACAAAAAAAAAGTATTTGTATCATTTATCTAGTACCCATAACACACGCTCTGCTTAGCTTGGGACTAGATGTATGATGACCGTATGATTAGTCTTGGGTTCGTATTATTATTATTATTATTGTTACAAATAATTAATACAGTTTTATATATCTAAGAAAACCTAATTATAATAAGTAAACTAAAAAATAATCTATAGAAAAATACGATTTATAAAAGACCTTTTAATTAAAAACACGTAATATAAATGGGAAATTTCATATCAAAAAGTCTATCGAAGTACAGTATCTATCAGCATCTAACGAAATTGATTATGCCGAAGACTACAGAAACTCATACGTTTCTAATATTGGTGTAATCATTAGTATGTAATAACAAGATATAAAATTCATCATTCTGAATAATTATAAACATTAAAACATTATTACTACATAAGCACTTATAAAATGAATTTATATCGCCCTCTTTAAGGCAAATTATTAACTAAAGTAAATATTGAATGGAAAAGTATCTTTTGAAAAGGTCACAAAAGGAAAGCGAGTCTCCGCGCTGGAACCAGCTTACTGCAATCATGCTCATTGGAAACCCTGTTTCATCAACAAAATAATCATTTAACTTTATGTCCGATAAACATACTGTATAATTTGATAGCCATATAAAAGCTAGCTTTTGGTGTATACAATGATGCCAGATTGAAGGTTATCTCCACAAATTTGGGGGATTTTTGGCGTTGGGGGAATATAGTTAATTTTGGGATTTGCGGAGTTTTGTGTCCATAAACACTAATTTTCTGGCTCAAAAAAGTGACGAACTATAGGCGAACATTGGCCCACCGAAGCGGCTAAAAAAATGTTATCAGTTTCACGAACTTAATTAAATATCAAAAAGACAAACTTAATCGGGTAAAATTAGATCATCATGATCAGACTTCTTTTTTGGGGTTTTTTTTCTAAATCTCTGTTTTGTAGGGATTATAGAATTTTGGTAAAATGTCAGATGGTTATCTGGTAACATTAACTGAGCACGAGGCATTGCGGCTCGATAACATTAGTTGAAAAAGGAAGTAATGGTAAAATATCAGAAAGAATGCTTATACGACAAGCAATCTACAAATATGTCATTTGTCGCCGACGAATCAGGACGCAATAACCATGTATCAAAGCGAGCCAAACGATATACCCATCCTTTACTATGTCGTGAGATAGCATTCAGATTTAATTACTTCGTTTACAGACAGTTGATTTACGATCCCTTTAATTTGAAAGTGTTGATTTAAGTTTTGATCGAGGCACATTTTCAGAAGTCATAATGATGTTTACCAATAAATCAGCGAAATTAAATGAAAATTCTTTAAGATGGCTATATTTTATCAATACAATGTTGTTTATGGTGCAATAATCTGTACTGCTAGTCAAAACACACACACACAGTTGTAATCGAGACGCTGTTAAGAAGCATTAAACTGTTTTACATTGTAAAAACACCGTCATTCATTGTACCATAATCCCATTTAAATTCCATCACTACATCCTCATTCTAGTAATTGGTTGTAACAGTTCATTCCCCGCGTAAAACTCGTATTACACCATAATCCTTAGTTAAAATAGCTTCAAGGATCATTAATGTTAATCGATTATCAGGCATAAAGCGACAACTACCCAGTTTGCATTCTTAACTATCAATCTCTATGATGATGTAGGATAGGAATAGTGAAAACAAAATTAACTCTGCCAATTCTTGTTACAGACCTGGCGGCAATACGACAGCTACTCGAGAGCGAGACGGGAGGCACGACCTGTCCAAGTTGTAACATGCCCTTTGACAAGGGCAAAAAGAGAAAGCTGATCGACACTTGCGGACATGAACGCTGCTACTCCTGCATGTTTAGGAACGAAGCGTGCCCTTTATGTGCCAGAAAAAGACAGGGTAGACAGCAAGTAATGGATCGATATACACCATCTCCACAAAGACAAGACCAAGATTGGCAGTCGCCGCTCCGATTGCCAAAACCTCCAAAACAACCCACCAATCTCACACAGAGCTGCCCCACACCGCCTCACACGAGAAAGAGATTCTTTCTTAGCCCCAAATCCCTGCGCAGTCCATTTGGGCTGCGATCCTCCCGGCATTCTCACGAGAACCACGTGCCTCTATCTGGTAAGTAATTTATATGTCTCCACATTTGCATATTAGTAGGCCCGCGCGTGGTAGCCACTGATTTGCATTAACGTCGGCATTGCGTAAGCCTGCTGCACACGCAATGCACTTCATTGATATCTTATACGGCATTAATTCGAAATTTCATTCATAAGACGTCAACATAGCGCCTCTCGCTCGTTCGGTAGATATGCCTATAAGTTTTCATAAATAGAAGATTCCTTGTATCGTAAATAACGTTGAGCGACGCTTGCGACAGTGCACCCACGCACGTTCCCGCCGGATGTACGTAGGTTCCGTAAAGGACCGGTTGTCTGTCTAGAGTATCTATTACTTTAGGTATAGATCCGTTAGTTTTGCAATTCTACCCGCGCAGACAAGCCGACTACGAACGTTATCTCAGCATCTGTTACAGTTTTCATTTCCATTAATTATATTATAGTGGCCCACTGTGTCTCTGTGGTATAATGAAATATATTGTACACTGAGCCGTGGGTTTGTTAACAAAATGCATTACTTCAATTCACCACGGCCCTTGCCCCTTCGCGACTTTAATTGACTGTCTGTTGATCGGTTATAACATTTCTATTTGTCACTATGAGAAATATTGTCTTTTCAAATTCTTGAGACTCAATTAATTTTCGTAATAAGAAAAGTCATTACTTACGCCTTCTATGGTCAAGCAATCCAGATTATTTATGACACTCGACGCAGGCTATATCAGGCATCCGATATACTCAACAGGATTGCCAGAGGAAGGCCCAAGAACAGCGGCGTGGCCGAGCATGGTCTTCAATAAGATCAGATCGCTCTGGTCGGCGCACTCGTCAGTGCCACAAGGGCTCAACCAGTTAGCAGGCACGGAGAATAAATTATATATGTTTGTCGGGGGAATGTGGACTTTACTATCCATAATAATCAGCATTGGTGTCTATGTGTTGATGTACTAATCCATAAATTTAAATATAATGACACAATCAACGGAGTCCAAACGACAGTTGGTCTATAAAAGACACTTAAAGCGTGGAAAGAGCACGTTCGCCTATCGATTGATTCGATTTTATAGTCGATTTTCGTTTTAATTAAATGCGACGGTATTCGGTCCACATTCCTCAGCATCTGATCTGGCACATTCGTCGCTCGAGTTTTGCACTTCTTATTGCCTGTTCACATATATCTGAAAGGATCATTTGATACGGAGCTTTTCTGATTTCTTTATTGTTTGTTTTGTGTGTTGATTTGCGTTGGTTTTATATAACGCTATGAAAGCTAATATTTTGGTTCAGTTCATGAATTTAGAAAGCAATTGTCTGTAATGTTTTTTTTATGTATTTAATAGCAATTATCGTCATTGAAATTAGATACTAAATCACGATGAATGGTAATTTTTGTTTCATCATGTATATGAATTTACATATGTATTTGAATAGACATCGTTGCATGAGTAAGTCTTCATGTTATGTTCTGCTCAATGATGAAGATACATCAATAATCGATAACGAAATCGAGATAAGGGATCGGTGACAAAAGTAACATACCGATTCGTGGGCGAATATGATCAACTGTACTGATAAATGTAGATGATGTTATGTATATAATGAAATAAACTCAAGGAGATTGTAGCTTCAAAATTGTATATGTAAATATGAGTAGTCTATAGATGATTTGGTTTGACGAAAGTACGCTAATGCTTAACGGATTTATATGAGGCTTTGAATTAATGTCATGTCAAAATATTCAATTAGTAGCGAGTAAAACCATACGATTGGTTATAAATCGCAGTGCAGGAAAAAGAAAGTCTTGCTCGGTTTCCGTTGAAGTTATTTGATTTCCTATCTCATGTACATACAGATTAGTTACGCTACATGTTACGTTTAATTTAAATCGATTTACAATACAATGTAAATATGTTGCTTTTTAGATATGGTTGTTTAAAATGTCAATTGAAATCTAAAACCGAGTGTATTAATTCACTAGGTGTACTAGGTATTATTGATTATTATAGAAAGGAAATAAAATCATTAAAAAATCAATTTTATTATTTTATGATTATTATTATCTACATTTCGTTATTTCGTTAAAACCAACAAGTGCCAATGTCATTTTTATATGGTCCTAAGTCATTATCTATCTGAATTATAAAATAAATATTTTTACAGTGATTCTAAATCATATTCCAATTTTTCAATCCTTAATTATACAATTAAACATTCCGATTGTTTAAATAGCTTTATATATATACGTAAATATTTTACACATACTTATATCATTTCATAAAATGTCACTCTTAACTATCCATCTTTAATGTAATATCTATTAACAAATCACCATTCTTTTTATCTTTTTACATTTCCTTTACTGATAATGGCAAAAGATCTCAACTCATACAGCTATTGTCTTCAGACCAAATACCAATTTTTATATGTTCGAATATTTTTCAAAATCATTCAATCATTTTCAAAATAGCCATTATTCATAGCAGTTTTAGTATATTATACCTGCTTATTCCATTTATTATTCGGATACTGGCTTAGGATTTCAAACATTAATTGCCATAGACTAGTTATTGTCAAGATCAGGTATTATGCTTGGCGCCAAATCATACATTTGCGAAACTATCACCGAACAATACCACGAGGGCGGCGTCACCTACCTTGTAACATGACAGATTCAGAACGCCCTTGGTGAGCCCACGATGGCTTCTAATCCGTATCTAATCTGTGGAATAATATAGTTGTACTAGATGTTACATTGCATAAGACACGATAAATAGAAAGAATAAATACTATAATAATACTAGTGGTTGCCCTATCAATAAGTTTGAACATTACTAAGGTTCTATTGTCAAATACTATATACTTCTATGCGTGTATATGTCAAGTATATGGTAGTGTGTGTAATGTTTTTTTATTGATTTAATGTATTTTTATGCATAATATTAAACAAATATTAGCATCTGCACCTTCTCTTTACAAACTATGAATGTTCGAATTTTCATACTCCTTTGTCCAAGCAATTTCCGTAAGAAGGGATACAAAGTTTTTGCTTCACGTATTAAAAATCATACCTTCACAACTGTTATGCTAGATAGGGTAATTAGAAACATTTTTAATGGGCGATAATGGAATGATGCACGGCTGTATAGCAGTAGAGCAGTATAGGGGTATCAATAGAGGATATGTACAATTCGCCCGTCTTGGTACATCGAACGGTAAAAAAAACAGGACAATTTTCGTTACTAACAAACCCACCAAACAGACGAAAAGTCTCTCGTTACTTTCGTCATTTAATAGAAATTGGCAAAGTAAAATAGTTACTTTAATTCCTTTACTCTTGACAATAATGGTTGTTGCGAAATAATGCGAAAATTAGGTTTTAGTATCAGACTGTCATGTAACGCTGTTGCAACGTTGTAGATACTAGACCATAGACCTTTAGATTTAGCCATAGATATAAGACCTTCATCGCTACTGTCGATTGTCGATAATTTTAAATCTGATACAATATAAAAAAAATATTTACAATAAATTACATTGTTCACTTTAACTATAAATCTAACAGATTATTTTTAAACAGTGTTCCATTTTCAAATTTAAAAATTAAGTCTACAATGTATATCATGAAATTGATCTAAGGAACAAAATCTTAATTACGATATATGTATTACATTCTCGACTAGATTAACAACGTTCTACTTTACATCGATCTGAGAAAGATCCAGTATCTTTCATTCCATTCTCCTACCGTTTTCGAAATTTAAAAATTAATCTGATTTATTTTCTTAATACAATAAAACTTAACACTGTCTATGACAGCATTCCATTTTTGAAATTTAAAAATATTCTAAATATAAATTGAAGCATAGAATATTTCTTAAGTAATAAATAATAATATATCCCAGGACAATTTACACAGCGCCATCTAGTCCCAAGCTAACCAGAGATTGTGTTATGGGTATTATACAACTTATATAAATACATAAAGACATTTTTTTGTAAATACATATTATACATAAAATATACTCAGACCAACACAAATTCTTGATTACAAATGTTTATCACCATCGGTGTACTAAAGCACTAGACCATCATCATCTGCTTCTTCCTTATCGACCATCGTTCGCAGTCATCGCGTTATTTACTTCCTTTCTTACCATATCATCTTTCACACAGTCCATCCATCTCTTTTTTGGCCTTCCTCTGCCCTTATAACCATCCACTAGACCACCGAGACCAAATAAATTACATCATCGACTTCGACAACGATCTACCCAGTACCTGCCTCGACTTCATCCCGTTTCGAAATACAGCTGAATTTCAACATGTCACAATTAAACAAGAGTATGACAAATGCTAATCACTCATTACAACCTGTTATCCAATTACAAAACCAACAATGGGTCAACAAAAAACAACATTCACTAGACACGCAATGGTTTGTAACGCATATTGCTGTTTGTTACAAAGCCGGTCCAAAGATCACTTCCGTTGGCCGGTGTGAAACGAAACTAGCTATGGGGTTCCAAATATTTTGCCGAATTGTTTATGGTAATGCGAGAGTAGTTATGATGTAAATAAATAATATAAAGAACCCTACACAATGTAGTGTCATCTGGTCTCAAACTAAGCAAAGCTTATTTAGGGAATTCTATGAGCTATTCACATTTTCCCTGTTTTTGCAACATTTTCATTACAGCTTCGCGCTTATTGGCCATAGAGTAATGTAATTTAGACTGAATGCCTTCCTGAATGAATGATCTATCACACAATGAAATAATTTTCAAAATTGAATGAATAAACCGTAAATTACCAAAATCTTTATCTTTTTAATTGAAGAGTTATGAATGTCGTCTTTATACAAAGTCTTAATTGCAATATATTATTGGTAGACTAGATTAACAACGATCTAATTTACACCAGTCTATCGAAAAAGATGATAATCTGTACAATTTCCATAGTGCAATAAAATACCTCATTGACCATTTACATTATCAAACCATTTTCGAAATTTAAAAAACATTCTAAATATAAATTGATGAACAGAATTTTTCATAATTTAATTAACTACAATAATTATGTAATAATTAAAGGGCTTCTAACGCCGACTTTACAGTCTTAATTGCAATATATTATTTGTCGACTAGATTACTACACAACGATCTAGTTTACATCAGTCTATTGCGAAAGATACTGATCTTAATCAAACACATTCCGTTTTCGAAATTTAAACATTAATCTGTACAATTTCCATAATACAATGAAATCATCATCGACTATAACAACAACTGTTTACATTACCATTCCATTTTCGAAATTTAAAAAGTATTCTAAATATAAATTGATGTATAATTTTTTTCATAATTTAATAAATTACAATAATAATAGAATAATTTTCTAACGCCGACTTTATACAAAGCCTTAGTTCTTTCGGCATTAACATATATATGAATGATTCACTGACTCTTTATATTTGGAACCCTAATAAAGTTAAATATGTTATTATTTTATTCAATAATATTCAATTTTAACTAAAACATTGTATGAATACAATTTAGCAGCCCAACCTTGACGGTATTCATAGAAGCATAACCTCATTAGCATCATGTACCACCATGCATATACGTTATGTTACCATGATGTCATTCTATATTAAGTTCAGTTCGTGTAATATTCAATATTCTGGAAAATAAACGATAATTCATAAGGCAAGAGTAATAGATTTTTTTTATCAATCAAACATCTTCAAATTCAAGTATTTTAAAATACTTATTTTATAGAAATAAATTACACACAGATAATAAAGAAACCCTCAAAGTAAAATATAGAAAACTGAATTGAAACAATTGAAGCTTGATAATC